TCTGGTTTCACTTTCCCCAAGCTTGTTCTGTATAGTTTACTTTTTGTGTTGGTGGTCAACTGTGTTGTGTTTAATCCATTCACTCCATTTCTGTACTGTATTTAAAATTAAGAAGTTGAATTCCTAAATATTAATAGATAACTAAAAAAAATTCTTTTATAGATGTCTAATAATAAGAAAATAAAAAGTTGTTTCCTAAAATGTTTTTTCAACATGTGTTGAAAAGAGACAAAAAAGTATGTTACTGAAAAAGCTCTTCTTAAAACAAGTAAAAAACAAAGCTCTTGGTGTGTCACATAGTATCACTTTTGGAAGTAGCTGTTAAAAAAAACATTTTATCTGAATAAGAGTGAATGGGTTAATCAGCTTGGCAATGACCAGTATCTTAAATGTTCTGGCAATATCTCCACACTGGTTGTTTAGGGTGTTAAGGAATTCTGATTGAAATTCTTTTCATTTTCTTTTTATTATTATTATTATTTGCTGGTTTTAAAGTCTTTTTTAAATGGTTTACTCTGGTATGATAATAGAAACTAAAAATATGGTACTTTTTTTTTTTTTAAAGTCAAAGACTTAACAAACATAACAATTATAGAGATTTAAGACCAGCATAAATGTAATATATATATATATATATATATATATATATATATATATATATATATATATATATATATATATATGAACTGTATAATTTACTTGGGTAAAAATAATTAATCATTCTCTAATTCCATGTTACATTAGCAAAAATCTTGTTTGTTTTTTCAACTAAGAAGCATAAAGTCAAAGAATTTTACTAAAAAAATGTTTATAAAAATTAATAACATTTGATTTTTAATTAATTTAATAGATATTAGTACCAATACAGATGAAAAAGAAAGTTCTTTATTATTATTGAGAAATAAATATTTTTAATACGTTTTTTTATAACTCATTTTGAGGATTATCTTTGACATTACTTTTCTTAGTTTTACATAAACCAGTTGTTTTTTTTTCAATTCATGAATGTATCTAGATATGTATAGCCTAGCTCATAGATCTTCCTGAACCTAGATATATTTGTTCTCCTAAGAACACTTGTAAGTTGTCCTAACTTTATAATAGGAATTTGTTGCTGCAAGTCTAGACAGTTTTCACATTTCAGGACATTGTTTTATACATCCCACTGATGCTCTGCCATTGATTAAAATGTATTTGATGGTTTATAATTTCCTCATTTTCTTGAAGTATTTCATGATGTGTATCACAATTTGAAAACTGTTTATAAACAGGCTGAAATGTGCCCTTAACTTTGTATGTTAATAAACTCATATATTAACTTATAAATAATTTTGTCGTCTTATTAGTTAGTACATGTTTTTTTATGTACCTGTATATATAGGTGAAGAGAATTCCAGCAACTCTTTATAGTTGGAAAATTTGTTTAATATTTTGAGTTTTATCTTTGGGGGTGGGGGGGTTGGCTTCTGAACCATTGGGTCTCTGGATCATTTCTCTGTGAAGACTTGGATTTAGCAGGAGTTCATCCAACTCAAATGGGTATCTGTCATCAATTGGGAAAGGTAAGTTAGTGTTGATCACAAGACACCCTCCTTATCTGTTAGCCATAAGAGAAGTGGCTGATCTACCCTACATCCCAATGTTAGAAAAAGGGAGATAATATTTTCATTGAACTAACTTGGATTACACAAACTTAGATTATTTGGATGGAGTAATACTGTTGTGTGTTTTACCCAATGTGGGGAAGTATGGACTTCTGATGAAAAATATGGGTGCTAGCAATAAGTAAGCTAGTACCATTTTCAATAATCCTACTCTAGTGCTAACTCATAAGCTCAAATCCGCATCAGAACTAATTCAATAAAAATCACTTTAAATGAAAACAGATTAATTTAATGCAGACATCACAAACATGTCAAACACTCAAAACATTGCCCCTTTTTTACGACCTCAGATTACTTCTCAACTAATTTAGATTCTACTAAATGTGAAATCTAAGGGGATTGATGATTATCTTTGTGTTCAGTCACTTGGCATACAGTGAACAATGGAAATTATGAAAATCAACTTGCATCATTCATGGTATTGAATCTCATAAACTATCCTGTACTAATTGATAGTCTGTAGTAAATTTCTGACATGAAGTATTGCATTTAATTTGCATATACACAAATGGTGCTTAAATAAAAGTGATAATTATTATTAGTCCAAATTGTCAAGATTGGTTGATATAAATTTTGAAACTAACTATAGCACATTTTCTCCAAAAGCTGATGACTCAGTAAAAAAATTTATTTACAATAGAATCTGAAAGGAACAGATTGAATTACATACACTACAAAGAAAGAAAGTTACTGAATAATTTAGACTCATTTTTTGTTGAGATTGACTTGATGCCTCCTGTTCAAAGCTTAGCAATAGAGCAAGTGACATTGTTTCAGAATAAACAGGAAGTTGTACTTTTATGACTTATTTGGTCAGTTATGTGATAAACACTGTGCATATTTGGTTGGAAAAAGGGGGGTGGGGTGGAATTAGTACCTTTCCTAGGTTATGTAGAAAAGGGCTGGGTTGACGAGACTAAACCCTAAAAGTGAAGGTTATTGTTGTGAAGGCGAGTTATCAATTAGTTTTGACACAGGCTATACAACTTAACATGTGAAGGCATACTGTGATACAAAACACACACAGGGCTGGATTCAAGTATGTGGAGGTCCCTACTCTTTTTTTTGTTTTGTTTAATTTTCACTTATGAATAATAAGCACACATTGGTAGGCTATAGATATATGCCACATTTTAGAAGAAGGAAAGTAGTTATAAATTTGATCTTTTTTTTTATACCGGTATTTAATATTATTATTTTAGTTTTAAAAAGTGTATGTTTTTAAGTTGGTGGAGGATAAGGCCCTTAGTAGACGCGCTGCATTCAGAAATTGCGAGCATGATTTCAAGCGGAGTCTTCTTAACCACAACAGTGTTTCCAGCCGACATAAGATTTAATGATTGTTGTAAAAATACGAAAAAAAACTTTTTATAAAATGTAAAACTTTCTGACACCTGGAAATTCTGATATACCTATTTGTATCTCTTTAGTGGAGGCCCTAGGGGTAATAGTCCCGCCAGCCCTCTCTTAAATCCGACCCTGAATACACACATGAGATGCTCTAAACTAACGCTGGCTGCATATCCAATAGTTTGTGAACACAAATGACTTCTTTTTTTTTAAAGTGGTAAAGTTACAACACAATGGAAAAGATAAATAAAATCACCAACTAAACAAAAGATAGTAGTCTATCTGAGAGGACGTGGCATCAAAAAGTCCTACCTGCTAAGATTTCTGAAGCAGAAGTACCGGTATACTGACAAAACAAGCCTGCTCATTTCGTTTTAATACGTCTGCTAACATTTTATATCAAAGTTGTTAAATAAAAAAATATTCTTGAGATGAAATTACCGGTATCATGTTTCTAGAGTGGCTAATGTACCTTTGGCTTTTACTGAAAACTAATATAACACTAACTGGATTGCTATTTCTGGATGTCAGCCTTTTGTTAATGTACCCTATCACCGACTTATTCCCGTGAGCCTCTCTCTGCACCTTATCACATTAGATGTAAAATACCGGCTACATTTTTTGATATGATGTCTTGAAAAAGGGAGATAACATGTGCTATAGTCATAGACATAAATAAATATAGACTGGCCGAAGGAAGTAACTTGAAAACATGTATATCTATTGTATTCGGATTTCCGAATTATGAAAAATTGCATGATCTTCATTCTTAGAGATTAAACAAAACTACACTGCCTCCTTATTTACAATATATATAGGTGTGTGGCTGAGATACATATGAATATTTAACTTTTATACTGCCCATAAATGCTGCATAATAAAGTACATAAAATCGCAAGTCACAAATTTTCGTTTCATAAAACTCTTTAATTGGCCAGTCTATAGTATGGCTATAGTATGTAAAACTAGTCAGTTCAGTACAATGTGCACTCTTTTGTGTTTGCCGATGTTAGAAAGTATTAAGTTGCATAGAAACAAGCAAAATATAACCCTAACAACAACAAAGCTTATATAAGGGAAATAACTACATTTATAGCCGTCTATCTATATATGCTACTGTAATACCAAATTAATTAATTACTACTAATTTATTAATAAATTAAAATTTATGATTGATTCATGTTTTTTTTAGGTCATTGAATAAATTTGAAAAGTTGGTAAATAATGTGTATTAAAAAAAACTACCAAAATGAGTTAATTGATATGAGCTTTGTAAAAAAAAATAAAAAATTTTACTTTTGTTTTTCTTAGTACGGAAGGTCTTAATAGTAAGTATGCAAAGTAGATATTTCAATACATTTATGGTAAATTACAAGTACACAAGTATTCTTGCACAATCTAGATCTATTAGCTAAGTGATTTTCTTCTTTTCCTATAAATATGGCATTCTTTCAGAACTGAAGATAACTACACTCCAACCCTAGCCTCTTACAGGATGGCAGGGAGTTTAAACTCAGGTCCATCATGATGACAGTCCAGAGTGCATAAAACAATGCCAGGCAGTACAACAACACGTGTAGGCACAGTGGCTGAGGGTAAAGCACCTGGCTTCCGAACCAGGGTCCTGGGATTTTTAATTTCAGGATTTTTACGCGCCTCTGAGTCCACCCAGCTCTAATGGGTACCTGACAGTTGGGGAAAAGTAAAGGCTGGCCACATGACACCCTTGTTAACCTGCTTTTGCTTTGAACCATATAGTGAACTTAATTTCTTTTCCCATGTGTATACTGGCACATAAATAGTGTACAGACTACAGACAAAATCAAGACAACAAGTAGGCAAGTTTTTCAAATTCATGAACTGTATTATAGTTTGTTTGTGAACTCAAAGTGACACACACTTCACACATTGTCTAACACAGCTGCTCTAGACAAATGGTGGACACAAAGAATGACGTACTCGATTTGTTCTGGACAAAAATAGTTTTAAAAAATGTAAAAAAAAAAAAAAAAACTCTATCAAAATGAACAGTTTCAAATCTGTTGCAGCAAGCAGTAATAGTGAAACATTGTGGAGGGCAAGAGTTCCAAATAAAATGCAGAAAGGCGTGTGGTCAAAACCCCAAACTTTTTTTTATATTTACATTCTGAATCACAAAATGTCAAATGATTCTTTACATTTTGGCTTTTTTTTTTCTTCTCCATTTTTTATTTAAGTTTATATTTACACATATCAAATAAACCTAGAATTAAAAAATACATAGATTCCAAGAGTTGAAATAGATCCAAATGTTTGATTGTAAAAAAGTGTTGATACTAAAATGCCAAGTTAAGTAGACTGAAAATGAAGATGCCATTAATACACAAAAAATGGGCAGTTTTTAAAACTACAAAGAGGTCTTAATGTACAAAAGTTCAGATCTAGGTTTGATAATAAATTAAGTTTGAACTGAAGCAATAGGGTATTTTATACAAGTGCTCAACCTAGTGACATCACTAACTACCTACATATAAATATACAGTATATAAATATACTTGATAGACACAGTCCACTTGAGGGCTTATTAAACATACAGTAAGCTTCAAAAACACACAGTAGACTTAGTTAACATGAACAGAGAAATAAGATATCACTTGAAAAAGGCACTAGAGTTGGTTTGTAGTTTTGCTAAGACAAACAGAAAAAAAAAATATTGGGGTGGATGGGTGTATAGCACAACATGTGAAGGTTAAGGCCACTAGACAAGTACATAGTAAGTGATCATCACAACACAAGACACAACCACAAGGTCTCAGCTCAATGGACTGCTCTGTACCTGCTGGGTACAGAATGATAACATTATAGAGTGGTTTGTACTCTTCCAAAAAATTATGGAGTGCATTTATATCATTATACCAAAAAAAAAAAAAAAAAAAAATGGAAACAATTATATTAATTATTATATCCACATTAAGTAGCGCTGTATATGTACATATATATTTCAAATTCTTTTCAAATTACAAAAACGAACAAAAAAAAGACATTCATTTAAAAAAAAATATTTAAAAAAATTAATTTAACATATTATTTAGAGAGATAAAAAAATGGACATGATCTTAGGAGAAACGAAACAAAATTTAATGGAAGATGAATTGTGGGGAAAAGTGAAATAAGGCGCTTTCTTCATTACTCTATACATGAGAGTAAGGACGGAGAAACCAAGAATTCATAATTGTATGGTGTTGGGCTATTAGCTTCCTTCTCTCAGAAATATGGCACTGGTACACAAACACACACAAGATATGAAGAGGCGGGAACAAAGTAGACAGCAACAGTCCCCAACAGAAACAATGATTGGGGACCTGCCATGTAGTGCTGACACTGTAAGTGGATAGAAAAAATATTTGGCTTTAAGCCCAAGAATCTAAACTCATAGATCTAGCTTTCTCTTCCTCTGAAGTTCAAGAAAAACAAAATGTATAGAATCTAGAAAAAAAAAAAAGACTTTTTAAATACTGTACCGTAATTAGTATACATAGAATTAAATCTAGTCTTATGTTCTCGAAAAATAGAAGAATTTAATGTTGTTAAAATGATGAAAGTTTACAAACGTGGGCAAATGCTTGCCTACCACTAGTCATTAAAACTATTTCCCTGTTGCTCAAGACAGCACAAGAGATTCTTGGCTGTATGTCCTCACACAAATGTTCACAATCAAAACTGAGAAAAACTTCTGGAGCTACAATGAAGTGGCATCCGTCTTTAGTGTACAAAGGAAGTGACACTGTGCTCATCCTTGAGCAAGAAAGAAAAACTATCAATCGATGAGATCAAATAAACTATTATGTTACTAGACTTCAAGATGCTGACCATACAAAACTAGAACTGATTTGACTGCAATTGTCAATGAACACAAGTTTTTTTTTTAATCCTCTGTGGAGGGAGAGTATGTACACAAGGAACTCTTGAAAGTTTCAGGGACTGAAATGATCTCTGCATTCTTGAACACACATTCAACTTTGTTACCAAGTAAAAGAGACTCTGCACATAATACAACTATATAGATATAAATATACTGTACACAATTATGTTGTGAACCTAGAACAAATAAAAACATTATGGGATACCATGTTGCTTGTTTTGTTATTATATATGTATATTTATATATATAACACTATGTACATTAGTTAAATCATGGAGTCAATATGGACAAAACACATATTTATATGTATATATATATATATATATTAAGGTACTTAAAAAAGATCTATTACAAGTGATACAGTTGAATACTAGGAAAAGAACTAACTACATAGGGAGATATAGGATTTGTACACAGGTTCTTTTTTGCCTCATGTGGTTTTCATAGAAACAATCAAATCAGAAGATTTCTATTGATACAGTTGAGACTTAAAGTGCCTTTGCTTTTTGATGCCTGAGAATACATTTTCACCAAGAATAAAGAAAACGAATTCTTTCAAACAGGGTTTAGTTCTTGCACTGATAAATATTCTATCTCACTGAATAAAAAGCTGGTGATAAAATGAACTTAAAGATATGCATGTAAAAATGTACACAAAAAAAACAACACATCATGGTCTAAAAATTTTTCCAACTTTTTTGTTCAAAAATTTTTATATGTTTTTTAAATTAGCATTTAAAAACATTAAAACTATTCTATTGTTCTGTAAAGTTAAAAAAAAAATACAGAAGATGCTCTGAAATAAAATATTTTGTGCTTCGTATTTCAAGGTAAATTCATTAAAGATGTTAAAAAAAAAAACAACAAGACAGATGGACATAATATCATTTTGTTCCTAAATAAAAGATGAAATTTTAATTCGGATTTGAAAAGACATTGATATGATTTCATTATCCATTTTGATTTAGTTGATTTCAATGGCACGAAAAAAAAACCATTTTTTGATTGAGAAGTAAAAATGGCTGGTTTGTGTCTAAAATTTAATTTCTCTAGTGAGCATGGACAATTGAACTTTTTTTTTTAAACATTTATTATGAGGTGGTTAACTTATTATGAAGAACTCGTTAGGCTATTCTGTCAACAATTGTCTATTATTGAGGCACTGAAAACTAGACACAAAATGAACCTGCCATTTATTGCATAGACTTTCATTCTCTGTGTTGACACTTCAAATGAAATGAAGGTTGCTAATCAAGGCAATATGTTTGTTTTTCTGCTTTAAACCACAAAAATTAAATAAAATTTAAACTGCTTATACCAACAATTGGTAATAACATTTCCTTGTATTTATTGTTACAGTGCAGTTGATTATGTAATTACTGGCTGATTGTTCGAAAAAAATGTTTGGCTTCAATGAATTAATGGAGGAAGGTTCCCTTTCTTCCCCTGCCAATGTGACCAAAGACATAAGGTCTTGCCCTTTCTAATTATCCACAGCCGATGGTTTGTAATTCAGAGTTGTGCTGAGCTATAAGCTCAAATGCACTTTTAATATGCATACGCAAATCCCTCACCATGATTTAAACAGAAAACTTTTAATCTAATAGCTAAATGCTTAACTGTTAAAACAGGCTAGAAAGAAATCAATTTCTAACATTTACTTTGATTTCTTATGTTTTCCTATATGATAGCCAAATGTTTGTGAAGTCATTACAAGTTGTGACATTGTATTAAAACAGATAACAATCCTATAACAAGTCCTTTGAGTTCAAAAGATTGAACAGCCAGATCTAGTTCTAGGGAGAAACTAATCTCTCTCAAGTCTTGCACTGCGCCCACTTGGGGAGAATACGCCTCCTGGCATTGGTGAACCAGTAGTTGATCTGGTTGATGGACAGTCCAGTTTGTTTGATGAGCATCGCTTTTTCATCATCATTTGGATAGGGATTGTCTTTGTGATTACGTAGCCACTCCATCATCATGTTCACTGCCTGGGATTAGAAATTAAAAACTAGTCACTTGAAGGTTTAACATTGATAATTTCATCACAGCTTTTTTTTTTTTTTTTTTTTTTTTTTTTTTATAATCTTCTAAGGCAGTGTTTCCCAAACTTTTTCTTAACGGAACACTTGTCAATTCTGAGTATTTAGTGGAACACTGTGTATTTTTTTAAAAATTAATTCACATGGTGGCCAATTAGTTAATCACTCCATTAGTTCATGGAACACTTATTCAGGCTAGTGTTTCGCAGAAAACTATTTGGGAAACACTGTTATAAGGCATTTGAAATGGATTTTTAAAATTTTAAAGTACTGTTTACATATTTTTCTATTCTACAGTGACTCTCCAAAATCATAAACCAGTTCTTTTATTTCTTTCATGAATTGATTTTCTAAAATAAAATAATGAGAAAATGTCATCTTACAGATGAAATACACAGAGGCCTAATTCATAAAGTACTGGTTGTGTGTGTGTGTGTGTGAGTGAATGTTGTTCCGATTTAAATCTATATTGTTAGTGTTCCAGTAGTTATACTGAGGTGGACAATTGTAGTAATACTGAATTTCCATTTGTTTGTTGATCAATAAAATTATCTTATCGCAAATAAATTAGAACTAGGTTGGTGAAGCTTTATCCTAAATCAGCAATACATCTTTAGGTAGGAATTGGATTAGAAACATTTCTAACATGAAGAGGCTTGAACTTAATAAACTTAAGATGGGGCCTATAGATACAGCTTTAGATAATTCTATAAAGATTAACACCAAAAGTAATAGAACATTATACATTGAATTATTTTTTTGGGTAGCACCTCAGATAATTCCATTAACACCAGAACTAATAGAAAATTATCCAGTGGAGTAGTTTTTTTGGGTAGCTCTGCAGATAAAGCTAAGAAAATATCATAAAGATTAACACCAAAACTAATAAAACATTATTTAGTGGATTAGTAGCTTGGGTAATCTGCAGATTCCCCCCTTCTCCCATGGCATCCGCCTCAGCCTGGGCAGTTAGCCGCACTTTTGTCCTAGAATGAACAAGGCTCAACTTGTATTTCTTCTAATGGCTTCTAAATTCTATTCAAGAGAAACATTCTCTTTCACATTTAGCACAGGTATAAGTGCGCCAGCATTAGAAGAGCTGTAACTACCTTTATTTATCCCTAGTCTGTTGGACCGTTGGGGCACTATGCAAGATTGTCAACCGTCTTTCTCCATTCCTCTCTTAACTAGCAATGACATAAATATGAAATAATATGCATAGGACTGACCTCCTTTGGCAAACTTGGATGTTTCTTCGACTCAGTTTTAGCTTGTGGACTTGCTACCGCTAATGTCTCAGCCATAATCTCTGTACCATCTTTCATAGACCTGTAACTCACATGAGACATCCCTGGTTGCATGTAGCCACTCTATTAGAAACAAAACAGAAAAAAGTTCAATATGAAATCTTTGATAATTATACTGTTGCTAGTTTATAAACATTTCAAAATAATCTTCATGTAGGGGAAGATTTTTTTTTTTAAAGTTCAATTTACTACTTTTAACATTTTATAAATAGACTCTTTTAATTGTAATTTTTAAAAAAAAAGGTTAAAAATCCATGTACAAGAATTAAATACAAAATCAAAAAGAATTTAGCTGAATCAACCACATTTTTTGTGAAGTAACCATATATGTTCTAATAGTATAAAATCAAATTGTAAAGGCATTTAAATGACTAAAAAGTGATGTAAAGTATTTATGCCATTTTACGGACTGACGATAAGGGAAATATTTATTACTCAATGCAAAGAACATGTTTCTTGAAACAAGAAATTGAAAGATAAAAAAAAACTCAGGGGGTGATGACACTATTGTCTAAACAAAATGACTAAGTTATCAATCTCTGAATGATGGCTGTTTGTAAGTGAGCAATAGCTTACCTCTGGATAACTGCCCATGTTATGCCCTATTGTTAGTGTTTGTACCCCATTGGGGACTGGTCTCACCTGGGAACAAAGAGTCTCAGCATTA